AAGTTGGCGGAGTTCGCCTTTCAGTTCTCACCCGAAGCAGAAGCAGGTATGTTACCCTAATACTCGACTCTTATACGACTCTCACCGCTCGGTCTATATGCTTACAAATCGAAGCGGTGCCTCGTTTCGCTTCGAGGCGTTACGAACCGAAGCCTACGCCCCGTGCGAAATAAGCGCACGCTCCGCCGAATCCAACGAGGCGTAAGCCTCAACTCGCAAATGCTTCGCCTCGCCTTAAGTCGCGTCTCAGTGCTTACGCCTCTTCCGCCTTTTTAATCGTTGGTATGGATTTGCAAACAAAGATTTTGTAATTCTTCAATGACTTGTCTATATTATTATTGCTAAACTCAGCTCGCAATGTTTTATTGCATCCTTTGGACAAAAATAATTCCTCTTATGTGTTTTATGGTTTTTTATATATGTTAGTAATATTTCTTGTTAGGCATCTATAATGGATATTTAATTCTTATGCATTATCTTAATGATAAAGTTCCTAATTCCAGTACTCCATAATATTATATACAAAATTACCTTTAATTATAAATAATCTATTTACCTTATTCAAGCATTAGTTTACTAAAATTTATTTTCTCTATTACAATATTTACTAAAGTTAAGGCAAGGAAACATATTGCTTTTTGAAGGCATAACTTCAATTGATGTTGTTACAGTGTTTGCATCCAACAAGCGACATAAATGGTATTGTTGCCCTTTAGTAATTATGGTAATATAAATTATTTTGTTGTGGTCGATTTTGGATGTTCAATATGTTGCTATGTAGTGTGGTCATAGAGTGGTTAACTATGATTGTAATGAAGTACATATTTGATTATAAATTTTACTATGCAAATGCTCTTTTATGGCTCAACGTAGTAATAGTATATGGTAGATCATGGTGTACATGTGCAACTCTTTGGAATGGAGGTATTGTTTCAATATAATAGTAGTTATTGGTTTTTGAATAGGTGGCTAGATGTTCTGTATGGAATTATGGCATAATTTTCAGAGTTATTAAAATTATGAAGTTTTTTCTTATAGTATAATTATTTTAGCTACTTTTGTGTTATTTTTTTAATAATAGTTTTAAATTTATTAGGCCATTTGGAGCATATGGTATTATAAGATTTATAATCATTAGTTATTTTGTGATACTACACTTATCTGAGCTATTTTTCACCATGTGACTCACCTTTTATATGATATGGCTTTTATATTATTATTAAATGGTTTTTGAAATATATAGATGAATTAAATGGAGATGTGATTTATTTCCTCCTGAATGTAAATTTTGGAATGGAATTCATTTTTCATTCGCTGAAGTTTTATAAAAGCATTTGCTCTCTTGTTGCTATGTTTTCAAATTATGTTCATTCCTACTAAGTTTTATTTAATTTTTTGTTGAAGTACAGAGGATGAATTTGTTGGATCACTTGCTGAATATTGATGTTATTCAAATCATTAAGAGATATCTTATTGCAAGGATTAAATTCTATTTAAAAGTACTAAATTGTAAACTGAATCTTCTGATGGTTTGGAATTCAATATGAACAAACTGAGCTTCTTATATATTTGATTTGCTATGATACAAAAGTATCAATTTATCAGTTTCCGATGGTTTTGAATTCCATATGAACAAATTGAGCTTCTTCTATATTTGTTTTGCTATGGCACAAAAGCATCACTTTATCAATTTCTATTTTTTGTTCAAGATTGTTGTTCCAATATTGAATCCTTTTATTAGTTTCTATTTTCTGTTGGAGATTTTTCTTCCAATATTTAAGCCTTTCGGCTTGTGTTTTTGAAAGGTGTTGAGATGGTTTGGAATTTTTTGGCTCATTATAAATAATTAATTTAGCGCATTATAAATCATTAATTTACCTTATTCAAGCATTAGTTTACTAAAGTTTATTTTCTCTATTAGCAATATTAACTAAATAGGTTTCGCTCTCAATCATCTCACAAGTATATGATGCGGAAAGTATGATCAAAGCATATTCATTTAATATGATGGATAATTGAGAGCAAAGCCTACTACACATCTCACAAGTGTCATTTATGAGATGTGAGATGTGGAATTGAGATGTGCAAAGTATGATCAAAGTCTATATATGAACATGAGCATGATGGAGTTGTAAATAAATGATTAATTTCAAAATGCTTCGCTTGGAGATGTCGAAAGGGTAATCTTACTAATAGTAAAAACCCGCTTGGAATTCTTCCTGTAGCAAATCCCCGCTTTTTATTTTTTTCTTGCTTGTTTTAATCCACTTGGGCCCCTTCGACTTCCGCTCGGCTATTAAACGGGTTTGCCTTTCGTCTTCTCCATTTATTCGTTTTTATTCAACTGCTTCCCTGCTTGGCTCACTAGGAATGGGTTTTCTTTTCCTCTTCTCCATTTCTTCGTTGCTGCTATATATATTAAAATTGCTACTAATTTAGTCTTCTAATGAATGTTATATTTATTTTAAGTAGGGCACATGACCAATTATATATTTCTGAACTCCGTATAGGAAGCAATTTTAAAACAAAATTAGGTTAGATTTGAAATTGAGACCTTTACCGTTAGAAACATGGGTGTGCATGGTCTTACTTAGAGCTCTTTGATAACATTGTATGCAGCATGAAAGATCATTTTCCCCTCCTAATATTTTTAACTACTTGTAATGAAAATTTACCTTGCACAATCATTGGTTTTTCTTACATTAAAAATTCTTGTAAGCTCAACAAATTTCTTCAAAAAATAGAAATGTTTACAATTGCTTTCCACTATTTCAGATTTGGCAATATTCATGAATTGCATTTGGTTTCATCCTCCAAATTGATAGTATAGTATCAGTTGGGTAATGTGTTTCTTAATGCATGTGGTTGCCCGTTGCTCTAATGGTTATGTACTTATGTTCTAATTTTCTTATTTCATTTCAACTATATGTATTATTCATTGCATATTATATAACAATCTTCAAGTTCTTTTTTTAATGAATTATATGTGATTTGATCCATGTATTCGAGATACGTATGCAAGCTAATATTACAGATTTGTTCTTATCATTTAATTCACCTTCTCATTTCTATATTTATTGTGTGGTGAAATTGAGCATATTAGACCATGTCGTCATTGGCAAGTTATATGTGAGTTTTTGTTCATGTTTGTGATGAATATCTTTATTTACATTTATTACCAATTTTTCTTAACTCAAGCTCTCGTCTACTTCTTTCTCTTATTAAGTGTTTAAGTTACACCATTTTATTATTATTGCCACATCTATAGCTTAAGAATGTTTTTTTTTGTTTGGATCTTGAATATAAAGTTAACATATGTGTGATGCTTTATTCTTGATGAATTTTGGAATCTGAAAGTTCTAATGTCTGCTTTAAAAATAAAATAAAAAAGGGACAGTAGATAGCTATTAGTAATTAAATTCTAAAGCAGTTTATAAACAGTTTCTAAATTAAGAGAATTGGTTTTGTTGCTTATATTAATGATCATTTATATTGAATCTCCATAGTTGTTTTATTTTAATTTATTACCTTCTGGTATTATGATGTAATATTTTATTGTTTATATTTGCTAAAAGTTACTGAAAGTTTTTTTTATTTAACTAAATTCTACCATTGAACATTAATTTCCTTACTGGCTTCTTACTCTTGCTGATAATCGTAGAAGATGCATTATGGTGGGTCTCAAATACGTAACCAAAATCATTGGAATGAAATTATTGACCATGTTGGTTTGTTTAAGTCTTTTAGAGAAACCTAGCTAGGTATATGGTTCTGTTATATATACGCTTATGCTATTCATCAGGACATTACTTGGAACTATGGATAATTTTATTTTGAAGGATGCTACTGTGAGGAAATGATTGAATCTCAGGTTATTCTCCTATTGCTTGCATATAGTAGTAGTGAGTCATATTGCATTTTATTTATATATATTTCTTAGAAATGTGCCTTTCTTATTGTTGCTGTGGTTCAATTTATACGATCAATTGTTTGTTGAGTTTTCTCCCAAATTATCTTGTCATGAATATTCATTTTGATGACCTTTTGCTTTATGTGAATCCACTTGTTTTTGAAGATATAGTTTGCGAGATTTTTAAAATTAGGTATTTAACCACACATTTGCTATAGTTATATATATACCAGAAGAAATTTTATTTTAGATCTTAACCTTATTTTGTCGTTGATCATATAAATTACTGGACTTTGATTTCCATCCATCTTTCTAAATATACTTACCTAGGAATGTGGATAGGTTTATTTCAAATCATGATTGAATATAATTAATAATTAAAATTACTTATAGTGATAAACTTAATAATTTTATATTTTTATAAAAAATATATAATATAAATTTTATATTTAAAATTTTATTCAGCTGACAATAAAACTAAATATGCTAACAAAAAAAAATATAGGTTAGACAAATTAAAAAACAAAATTGCATTTTATGCTCCAAAGTAATATTTTTTGTTGGTCATTGTGGGACGCTGTTATCTTAATTCAATTTACATGAAATTTGTCAGATTTATACTAATTGTTAGTCTTTCTCATTGTGACATTCACTGTTGTTTGCAAGATAAATTAATGCTCTTATAGGTAATGCTTTATTATAGGCATATTTTTGTTTGTTTTGAGTAACTAATTTAGTCAGCTGATGGGTGCTCTGTTGATGTTAACAAATCAATTAATTATAAACCCCTTATGTTACACATAAGTTTATTTTTAAAAAATTTCATTTGATTTTAATGAGTGTATTTCAAGAATATTAGAGGTTAATTAATATGCCTATATTGATATAAAATTTAATATCATTGATATAACATGTTATAAATTATTTATTATTTATTATTATCATTTATTTATTTTTTAAATTTTATGCACGCACGTGCATTTGTACCATTTTGATTAAATGGCTGAACATTATAATTTCCGCACTTATTTTATATTTGCTTGCTCATCTTTTTATCGAAGTTTTGTTTAGATATACTTCTATTCTACAGGAAAATGTTGTAACACAGTCAAGCTTTGTTCTCACCGTGCACTCATCTCAGCTTTCATGAGCCTTCGACATCAATTATTTATGGGAACTTCAAAGACTGAGAATCTTAATCTCAAATCTAGAAAACATCAGCGAGATAAAAAGGGAGAAGCACCATATTATGCTTTCTTCTCTTTGGAAAAGAGGATCTTTGCCTTTTGCCTAGCATTCCGGGCTCTCAATTCCCTTTTGGTGCAGACGTACTTCAATCCCGATGAACACTGGCAGGCCCTTGAAGTAGCCCATCAGATGGTATTTGGGTATGGTTTGAATCTCAAACTCTTTCAATTTCGTTGCTTGCTCAGTGGATTCATTTTTACAGTTTTCTTGGATTGTGTGTAGTTATGGACACCTCACATGGGAGTGGAAGAAGGGGATACGCAGCTATCTTCACCCTTTGGTGTTCGCTCTGCTTTATAAAGTCATGGCCATCCTTCGATTGGATACTCCATGGTTTATGGTGATAAATCTGCATTACTCACATTTTTTTTTTTAAAATTTTTTTCATGTATAATTGATCTCTTACTTATTTTAGATGAAGGCTCCGCGGTTTATGCAGTCAATGATTTCTTCTGTTGGAGACCTTTACCTATACAAGCTTTCCCGAATAGTCTTCAGCCACCGGGTTGCAAAATTTGCTGTATCCTTTTGTCTTTATTCTGCTTTTCATGGGCTATTTAGATTAATGCAATTCCACTCGATCTATAACATCTTAGCTGGTAGATGGTACACTTATGTTAGAAAAGATGATGTCCTTAACTTTGTTTTGAAAGCTATTTTCTCAATTATCAAACTGGTTCATGTTCTTCTGCATGCCACGGACATTATCAAATAGTTTGGAAACTGTATTAACTATTATAGGCCTCTATTATTGGATTTCTTTCCTTGGTATTTCTAAGCATTATGTGCCATTCACTTCAAGGAAGATAGCTTTGTTTATATCAGCACTAGCTTGTGCGATCCGACCTACAAGTGCTATAATATGGATTTATGTTGGAATTTTTGATATTTTGGGAATACAAAAGAAGCTCAGATTCTTATTTCTTGAGGTACTATTCATAGGGTATGTACTTTACTCGAACAGTTTTACCTTTTTCTCATATTGTTGAATAAAATGTATTACTATGTTGACAACGGTGAGGTGGCTAGTAAGGGGTGGAAATGCCCTTGAGTTTGCTTTGTATTCGGAAACTGTCTGAATATGAGAAATTCCAAATACACAAAAAAGAGCTAGAATGGAATACATCACATTTGCTTTGCTTTACGTTAAATTTATTACCTTTTTCTCATTTGTTTATTATTGAAACAAATGATTTGCTTCTTTTTTCAATATCTTAAATTGAATTAGTTAAGTTTCATTTTAAGATTTCTTTTCTATCGTAGGTTTGATTCATGGAGATCTTGCAAAACATTAGATGAAAACTTAGGTAGTTTAATGGGTTGTTTTAACTTCAGTAACATCTATCATTCAAATGATTAGTTTTTATGTGGCTTATCCAGAGCTTGATAGCCATCTTAGCCATAACTGATTGTGAATATTCTGTTAGCTTACACAATATTGATCCCTTTGAGCATCAAGATTCATGGAGCCCTTGCAAAATATTTTAAATGAAAACTTAGCTAGTTTGTTGAGCTGATTATTCTTCAGTAACAGTTTTCGTTCAAATGATTAGTTTTTTACATTTCTAGCATTAGAAATATTTTTGTAGTGAAATAAGAAGTTCTAGCAGGATTATATCATGGATCAATGTTCAAGTAAAGAAACTTGGTTTATATTTTTTTACTGGAGATAGTTTTGATTGCATATGCTCAATATCTGCCATGCTTCTTTACTAAATTAATTTCTGTTCACTTGTTTATTTTCTCCCGTTAACATTCTCCTTTGAACAGGATTTTTGTGTTTGCACTCACTTGTCTACTAGATTGGTGGATGTATGGGTCTTGGACCTTCGTGGCAATTAATTTTATCAGGTTCAATTTTTTTTCATCTGGAGGGGATTATTATGGAACCCATGTTTGGCATTGGTACTTCTCCCAGGGCTTCCCAGCAATGATTTTCACTTTCTTGCCGTATTCTTTATTAGGCATATTCAAGTCGAAAGAATGGAGGCTTTCTGGCCTTATTGCCTGGGTTTTAGGGATCTACAGTATGCTTGGTCATAAGGAATTTCGGTAATCCGGTTTTATTATTATCTTAAGAATCATCTTCTTTAAAGATAGCATCTGTATTTTCTTTGAAAAAATAATTTTCACTATTATCTATATGAAAAATAACTTTGATTTTTCAGGTTTGTCTTGCCAGTACTTCCAATATCTTTAATGTTCTCAGGCTATTCATTGGCAGCATTATCACAATCCAAGCCTTCTCGCCGTGAAAAGGGGAGATTTTTAGGCATGAGATGTACTTCAAGAATACAACTGAGCATTTTATTCCTTATTGCAACTAATATTCCAATGGCATTATATATGAGTCTAGTACACCAGGTGAGATACTCTTTCAGTAAAACATCAATATTAGATCTATTAAATGTGTCTGAGAAATTCCACTTTTACTGTGAAATGCTGGTAATATGTACGTTGCATCTATCTTTGCCTACGTTATAGGTATTTCTTGATTATGTTTAATTATTGTTTAGTTTTTTTCTCTAAACAACTCCATGACCAACATAATAATATATGATCATATGATAGATCTTCATATAGGATACTTTGTTTACGCAGTTTTTCTTCAAAAAAGATTAAAAATCTTGGTTAGAGCTGTTGTTACGGTGGATTGATTCAATGACCTTAATGTAGAAGAGTTTTCATCGTTAATTATTTAGTAAAGGGTAGTAAAGTTGGGCCAATATTTTGAACCTATGCAATCTTTGTCCTGGAGTCAAGGATATTGACACATATATGCTAAGCTTATAAATTATCATGTGAGCTTGCGATTGATATAAGCATGTCCAGTTTGGCAAAGCTAGATAGATGCTTCTCTTTCACCCACTTATAACCCGTCAATAATGGAAGGAGATTGGCAGGAAGAGACTGGAGTTTAGTTGAATCTAAATTAGCATTAGCTTGACACACATCATTTACCAAAATCAAAGCAAAGAACTTGATAGTACACATGATAGCATGGAGAATCAATAAGATTTTGGTTTGGTCATCAAAAGTTTGTACCACGGGCTGCAATCAAATATGGAACAAACTTTTAAAAAAAAGTTGAGTTAATTTTATCGTTTTCTTTTCTTTTTTTATTCATGGGTTTACTTAGATTATGCTGCAAAGCCTTTTGCATGCTCTCTTTCCTTTTTTTGTGAACTGTTGCGCTGTTCTCCTTTAATATAGTAGCTATCTGAAATAAATTTCTGATCCGTTGGTGATAACCTTTCTATGCTTGGTATGCTGGATTTTATTATGGTTGGCTGGCCTAGAAGTTTTTTTAATGATTATTAATACCAATTTTTATAGAGGGGAAGTGAAGATGTGATGTACTATCTATCTAAAGAGGCAAAAGATGGAAAAATTAAGAGTATTCTATTTTTGATGCCCTGTCACTCTACAGCTTATTACTCCTCCTTGCACCATAATCTGCCCATGCGTTTTCTGGATTGCTCTCCCAGGTGAAGTCCCTTACCTTTCTTTTTTTGTTATGCATTTTAACTTAGATGTTAACATCTAATTAAATTTTTCTATTTCAGTCACACTAAGGGCGTCCTAGATGAGTCGGATCAATTCATGGCAAACCCGGCTGGTTTTGTATCAGAGATGTTCCAGCATATTTCATTACCCAGTCACATTGTAGTATTTGATTCTCAAGAAAAAAAATTGGAAGAGATTCTTACTCTATTTTCTTTCAGAGAGGTTATATTGACTCTTTTTTTATACCTATTCAGAACCTTGATGAATTCTCTATCTGGATTCTCTCTATTTTCTCTTGATTGCAATAAAACAAAATCATATTTTTTCCATTCAAGCCACCTAGTTGTTTGCAGAAGTTATGAGGTTTAGGCCTTAGATCAATTAGTTTTGATTAATATAACGAATCTTTCATTTCAGTGTTACAAGGTAGTGGTATGATTCTTTTTTAACGCGTTATCTGAAAAGTAGGGCATTTTAAACCCCTTCTGCAACAATAAGCAATTATTGCTCCAACAGAAAGTGAATTGTTAATAATAGCATTATAACACATGTCAACTCATGGGTGGATAGGATAGGCTAAACTATAGCATGAGAGATTATTTTGTTCTTTAATTCTTTCTACTTGTATAAGCTCAACTGTTTTTTTTTTTTTGACAGGAGAAGAGGTTCTTCCATGCTCATTTTAAAGTGGACCGTGATCTGCAAGCGTCTATAGCTGTTTATGTGTTGAATGCTAGTTGATGAGTATACCTTCATGTTACAGGCCTGTCTTCTATCTTACACCTTTTTTCGTCTTTGTTTCCTTGCTTTTTGCTGACCCCATGTAGTGGGATAAAGACTTGATGTTGTTTCCTTGCTTTTTTATTTATTCCTGCTGGCATGCATCAGATTGAGACTTTGTCAAACCAAAAGTGCTTGCGTTAAAGTTTGATATTCAATGTATCATATATAAACAGATTTTAAATTGTTTCCTATTTATGTTTGTAACTGTGAGTCATAAAAATGTTTATGAATGGAGGGCATGAGGGGTCCCATATCTCCTTTGACTTAGGTTATTCTGCTCATGAATACAGCCAAGACTATCATTTAGTATAAAATGGGCATTATATCGCAATGACCACATCCAGGTACATAAATTTCTGCATCTACTTTTGGAAGCTTTGTCTAGCATTTTCTGTGGATTGGAACTCTTCTATCCCCACTTGTGTCCTGTTGACCTTTCGTGTGCTACTCCCTTCAGCTGCTTTTTGTCCTTCTGTCTCCCCTTTGCTGATTGGATACCTGAAGCGGCTGTTTGGGCTGTTTAGCTCCCTCTCTTCCCCTATATATAGTGACTGTGACTTTAAAGTGAAGTTTTGGAATGATTTTTGGAATTTAAAAACCTGCGGGTTTTGTTCTAGCTTGCGAGCTAGCCCACTTTCTCTTCTCCTCTCTATAACTTTGTCTCGGGCTTCTTATCTATTTCTTCTCTCTGCAAGTTTCCACCCCAATTGTATCTTTCTTCTTAGGGGCTGTTTGGTTGCCTGAATTAGGAGTGTAAAGTAAAACAATTACATGTATTTATTAAATTTGGTTGTTTGGTTAATTTTCAGCGGAACAAAAGGAAATCATCCGAAGTATTAGGCGTGTATTAAGGAGCCTGTTTCACGTGAATTAGAAACTTGTTCAATATGAGCGGGTTATAAATTCATCGGAAGAAATCCTTGGCATCGTCGTCGTGCTGTTCGGCTTCATTGCACGAGAGGCTTCTTCGGCTCCTTCGTTCTTGTTCGACTTCGCTCCTTCGACGAAGTTCCCTTTGCTTGCCGGATCGGATGTTTTGACATTTTTATCAGATCCGCCTCTGCCTCTATCCACTCCTCAAATCTCTCCAAAAACGTGTCTCGTCTTCTCCCAAAAACCTTCTTCTCCCAAAAACGTGCCTCTATCCACTCCTCATCTCCACCTTCTTCTCTGTATCCCTTTCAACAACCACCTTCATCAACAAATGCCACTTCACAGTATGGCCGGCCATCCTCTCCAACGCCGGCCACCCCCCGCTTTCCTCCGCCGGCTTCGAACTCCCTACCGCTTCTTCTCGCTCCCTCCAATCCCCTCCCAACTGGTCCGGCCGCCTCTGGATATGGTGCCGGTTGCATTTTCCACAGCTCCAACAACGGCTCCTATGCAAAAGGCCAAACACCTACGGCAACCCTCGCCGAGTTCTCTCTCGCCGGCGGCGAGCGAAACAATATTGATTTCTACGCATTTGCCTTGTTGATGGATTCAACTTGGCGATGATCGTCAAAGGGGGGAAGGGGAGGTGTGCAGCGACGGGGTGTGTGGTGGATTTGAGCAAGAGGTGTCCGGCGGAGCTGAGGATTGGAGAATGCGAGGTGGCGGTGGCTTGCCGGAGCGCTTGCGAAACAAATCTCCTGCGTTTCTTTTACAGACAACCAAACAGAGCAAAATATTCGAAATGCATTACATTTACTTTACATTGCATTTACTTTACACTGCATTTCTTTTTCAGGCAACCAAACAACCCCTTAATCAATGAAAAGTTTTTAGGTGTTTTTATATTCTAAGATTGTGTTTGTCGTGTGAGTTGTATGTGTTGTCCGTTCTAAAAAATATATAAAAGTTGTAGTGTGTCTTTATTTTAATATTATCATTATTTTGTTTAAGTTTGTAATGGCTATGATAAGGAAGTCCAGTCTATCTTCTTAAGTTATATTAAGGAAAGTCTCGTTTGTGTGTCACCTTAGTAGTATTTTATCTAATATTGTGTGTATTTTCTTATTTTTGAAAGGAAGACGCTTGTTTGTTTTTGCAACCTTAGTTTCCTAAAAATTTTTGATTGCATTAATTTGGTATCAGAGCCTAGGTTTTTTTTGTCTTTTTTTTTTTTTAAGTTTTGGAAAAAAAAAGAAAAATTTGTACCTTCGGCTGCCTTTTGGCCTTCTACCTCCCCTTTGCTGATTAGATGCCTTGTTGTTTGGACTGTTTGGCTCCCTCTCTTCCCCTATATATAGTGGCTGTTTTGTGGCTTTTAAGAGGTGTTATGGAGTGATTTTTGGAGCTAAAATCTGCGGGTTTCTTCTTGGATAGCCTGCGAGCTAGTCCCTTGTCTCTTCCCCTCTCTTTGATTTCGTCTCGGGCTTCTTATCTACTTCTTCTCTCTGCAAGTATCCATCCAATTTGTATCATTCTTCTCTAAAATATATACAAGTTGTAGTGTGTCTTTATTTTAATATTATCGTTATCTTGTTTAAGTTTGTAATGGCTATGATAAGGAAGGTCAAGTATCTTTTTAAGTTATATTAAGGAAAGTCTCATTTGTGTGTCACCTTAGCAGTATTTTATCTATGGTAAGGGGGGCCCACAAGCTGGGCGGAAACATATCAAGGAGGCGGCTTAGCCCGCCTCTTGTAGAACTGGACCGGTTGGACCAGTCTATCAATACTCCCCTTCCAAAGATCCACCTTGTCCTCAAGGTGGAAATATGCTCGTGTTCCTGCGGAGGTGGCCATCCTTGAGGTGATTGAAAAATATTATTGTATTGCTGAACCAAGGGTTATACGGATAGAGAAACATCCCCTCACTCCTCAAATCTGATCGCATCCAACCTGTGTAGTCCCACCAGATAATCTTCCTCCACCTCTTGTTTGTCCCTAACCATGGTTTTAAGTAATGTCATGGCTTTGGATAGTCTTGCATCTCCCCTTATAACCACCTTTCTCCCTTCCACCTTTAATTCCATCGTGAATGCTCCCCAATTGTCCTTGGTTTCCCCCAAGGTTTGCAACCACTTCATCATCACTAGGATAACATCAGTGCTTCCTAACTCTGGTGGGAGAAAGTCTTCCCTTACTTGAATCCCCTGGATAATCAACAACACTCCTTTACAGATCCCCTGTACCCATCATCACCCCATAACAATCTGTGTCCACCAATTTCACTCCTAGTTGGTTGACAACCTGAGTGGAAATGAAATTATGGGTAGCCCCACTATCAATCAAAATAACTACCTCCATGCCTGCTATCTCCCCCCCCCCCCCTCGCCTTCATCGTTTGATTTGAGTTTAACCCTATCACTAAATTTAGGGAAGCCTCAGGCAGATCCAAATGCAGCTTCTCCTCCCTCTCTTCCTTTAACTCCCCCTCACCTCCCTCCTCAGTTTCCTCGTCATCACAGATGATGAGAACCTGAAGAGTTCGATCCTTACACCGATGTCCTGGCGTATACTTCTCCTTGCACCTGAAACACAACCCCTTTGCCCTCCTCTCCTGCATCTCCTTCTCTGTCAGCCTCTTAAAATTTTCCCCACTTCCTCCTACTGGCTTCTCCCTGGTGATCTCATTAATGTTGCCTGATGTATGCCCCTTGGGTGCTAGAAGAGTGGTCGTCGTCCTGTAAGAGCCTCCTGAGCTGTAGCTCCCTTCTCTAGATTCTTCTGATTTTTCACCAGCTGGGATAATTTCATGGCCTCCCCTAAGTCACGAGGCATCAAAACCTTCACTGCTACTCAAATATCTGCCTTCAACCCTTTCATGAAGTTCCTCTTCAATACCGTATCTGATAATCGCTCAACCCTACTAAGTAGGTGCTCAAACTGCTCCCGGTAGTCTGCTA